GTGCCGCGCTGCTCTGCCGTGCTCCTGCGGTCTGCGTGAACGTATGTTGCCTCCCTGTGTGTGCGTGTGTGCGTGTGTGTGCGCGTGCGTATGTGTCTGTGTGTACGTGTGCGTGTGCGCGTGCCTGCGTGCGCGCGCCCCTGTGTGCGTGCGCCTGTGCGCGTGTGCCTGTGCGTGCGGCTATGTGAATAGATGTTTTGGGTGTTCTGCCGTGCTCCTGCATGCTCTGCCGTGCTCTTGTGTGTTATACCGTGATCCTGTGTGTTCTGCCATGGTCCTGCTCTGCCGTGTTCCTATGTGTTATGCCATGCTCCTGTGCGTACTGCCGTGCTCCTGTGTGTTCTGATGTGCTCCTGTTTGTTATGCCATGCTCCCATGTGTTCCTATGTGTTCTGCCATGCTCCTGCGTGTACTGCCGTGCACCTATGTGTTCTGCCGTACTCCGGCTCGTTCTGCCGTGCTCCTATGTGTTCTTTGGAATCTGCCGCGCTCCTGCGTGTTCTGCCGAGCTCCTGTGTTCTGCAAAGCTCCTATGTATTGTGTGTTTTGCCATGCTCCTCGTGCACGTGCGTGTTCTGCCGTGCTCCTGCGTGTTCTGCCGTGAACCTGTGTGGTCTGCCGTGCTCCTGTGCGTTCTGTGTGTGGTTACCATGCTACTGCGTGCTCTGTCGTGCTCATATGCATTATGTGTGTGTTCTGCCGTGCTCATCGTGCCCCCGTGTGTTCTGCCGTGCTCCTGTGCGTTCTGCTGTGCTCCTGTGTGTTATGCCGTGCTCCCGTGTGTTCTTTGGGTTATGATGTGCTCCTTTGTGTTCGGCCGTGCTCCTGCGTGTTCTGCCGTGTTCTCGCGCGTTCTGCTGTGCTTCTGCGCGTTGGCCTGCCGCGATCCTGCCCATGTTCTGAAGACGCCTCTGGCGGAAAGCTTAATTTCAGCTAGCATGGCATTGAACCAACCTTGTCAATATCTTATGTGCCCGAGGATGTCCCAGGCGATAGCCCCATGTACACAGGTGCGTTAAATTCGCGATGTTCATGGCCTGGTGGATGTTTCAAGCAAAACGCATGTGTTTGTAGAAGGCGATGGATGGTGCGAACAACTCAATGTGTTGAGGATGTCTCAAGAGAAATGCGCAGTTTGGGGAATCTCGAGGGCGTTCTTGGAGTCATAGTGGGCCTCGTGCGGGGCTCGTTTGGGGCCGTCTCGATGCCTTAAAAAAATGCCAGCGCGATGCCACACATATCTTGGTTGAGGATGTCCCTAGCGAAATTGTCATGTTTGGTAGAAGGCTGGCTTGGGCCGTCTGGAAGCCTTTTCAGAAGCGATTCCAAGACGATGTTAGAACAACAGGTTTCAAACCGATGCTACTGTATGTTTCATTTCGTTGAGAGTGTCCCTAGCGGAATCGTCATATGCGGCAGTCGTCAGGGCGCTCTTGGAGCCATCCTGGGGTTCTCTTTGGGCTCCCATTTCTTCATTATGAAGAATTTCAAGAGCAATGTCAAGACGATGCTGAGAACATGACATGCTGTTGAGGACGTCCCCAGCGGAATGCGAATTTTCTGCCGCGCTATTTTGGGGGCCTGAAATGCTGCCCGACATTATCTGAGGACGTCCCTAGCGAAAACGTAGTTTTCAACATAAGATGTAGTAATATACCTCCGACGACATCTCACTGCGGCTAGGACGTATTAGGCAAAACGCCAACTTGTGCAGAGTAGTGAAGTTCGCGGCAGTCAACGTTTCGAGGATGTCTCTAGCGAAACACATGTTGCTGTTAAACGCGATGTTGCGAATATTATATTGTTCTGAGGATGTCCCTGACGATGCCACCACTTTTAGCAACCTGAACGGACAAGAACGGGAAGCGTCGATTTTGTCCACTAGGTATGTGAAATATGCTCGCTTGTTGGTCTGCCACGCAGATATGTCGTGGCGTGCGTGCGTTTGCGCGTGCGCGTGCGTGCGTGGAATATGTGCGTATGTGTGTCCGAGTGTGGTGGTCTGCGGCGCTGCTGCGTGAGGCCGTGCTGCTCTGCCGTGCTCCTGCGGTCTGCGTGAACGTATGTTGCCTTCCTGTGTGTGCGTGTGTGCGTGCGTTTGTGTACGTGTCTGTGTGTGCGTGTGCGTGTGCGTGTGCCTGCGTGCGCGTCCCTGTGTGCGCGTGCCTGCGGGTGCGGCTGCGTGCATAAATGTTCTGTGCGTTCTGCCATGCCCCTGCGTGCACTGCCGTGCTCCAATGTTTTCTGCCGCGCTGCTGCGTATTCTGCCATGGCCCTGCTCTGCCGCGCTCCCACGTGTTAAAATTAAATTTAAAGACGGGGCCTTCAAGGCGTAGTGGCGGGGCCAAATGGCCAAGAAAAGGACGCGCTCTCCCGAGAGGGGCCACCTAGGGCCGCCTCTCGCCGCGGGGGCCGCACTGGGCCTTCACCGCGCGGCACCTCAGGCGAGAGCAGAACTACACGCAGCATGCAACTGCCCGCCTCACTCTTCACTCTTGGGCCGCGTCGTGCAACGCGCACGGCCCAAAAGAACATCGAGGAGCCGCTGACGCTCCTCGGCATCTGGACAACCTGCACCTCCGAGGCGGACGCCGAGGGCGCGGGCCTCGGCCAAGTCCAGGAGTGACTGAATTCCCGACTTCGGCCCATTGGCCGCACACGCCACCGCCGCCACCGAGAAGCCGTCCAGGAACGAAACGAACACGCCCTCCAAGCTCGAGTGGCCCTCGCCCTCGGCGCAGACGACGCTGTCCGCGACCAGGGGCGGCTCCATGTCGTCGCTGACGACGCTGCTACCGCCCAGGTGCGGCACGACGTCGTCGGCATACTCGACGGGTCCACGCGTAGACGGCCTCGAAGAGTCAGCATCGCTGGCACCAGCCAAACCGTCCACGCTGCCACGACCGCCAGCACCAAGCTCTGCACTAGCACGTCCCAAGACGGGAGGCAGCGGCCCACAGCCTGCAGTACCTCCAGGGACCTTCTGCGCCCCGAGGACGGCGGCAACGGAGCAGGAAGAAAACACCACCGCGCCACAAGTACACCGCATGCCCTCGAAGTCGTGCAAACAGCATGGCTCGGCCGAAGATCTCAGCGGCGTGCGCCTCCGCAGCGGCAGACCGCCCATGAGCTTCGGCAGCGGCTCAGCCTCGCAGATCTCCACGTCGATGTCCAGGGCACCTTGCCGAGAGACACAAACGCCGTGGTCGCCCACACTGCGGGCACCCTTCTCCTGCGACCCCAGGCGTTGACCCTTCTGGGCCTTCCTGAGGGGTGCTGCCGCAGCGGGGGCGATCGACAGCACCCCGTCGGCCTCGGCATGGAGCGCCACGTTGCGCCGTAGCCGCTCCAACCAGGTCGGCTCTTCCCCCCGCACAAGCGCAGCCAGTGCCGGTATTACCGCCTGGACCCGATCCGCCAGCCCAGGCACGCCGACGAGCAAGTCGAGGGCGGCCTCCACCGCGCGCAGGCGGGTCTGGGCCTTGCCAGCTGCCTCCAGGGCACGCCGCACGGCCGCATCAGCAGCCGCTCGGGCGCGCCGTGCCGCCTCGCCTCGCTCGCGCCGCGAGCGGGGGAACCGCAGAGGGTCCCCTCCCGTGACCATCCCTCGCCCAAGCAAGCTTGAACCGACCTGGCTTGAGCCAAAATGGCTACGGATTGTGCTCCTATGTGTTCTGCCGTGATCCTGTGTGTTCTGCCGTGTTGCTGCTTGTTCTGCCGTGCTCCTATGTGGTTTGTGTGATCGGCCGCGCTCCTGTGTGTTCTGCCGTGCTCCTGCTTGATCTGCCGTGCTCTGCCGGGCTCCTCCTGCTTCTGTGTTCTGCAGTGCTCCGGTGTGTTCTGCCGTGCTTCTGCGTGTCCTGTGTGTTCTGTCCTGCACCTGCGTCCTGCCGTGCTCCTGTGTTTTCTGCCGTGCTCCTATGTATACTGTGTGTGCTGCCGTGCTCCTCGTGCTCCTGTTTGTTCTGCCGTGCACCTGCGCGTTTTGCCGCGCTCCTGCGTGTTCTGCCGTGCACCTGCGTGTTCTTCGGATTCTGCCGTGCTCCCGTGTGTTCTGCCGTGCTCCTGGGTCCTGCCGTGCTCCCGCGCGTTCTGACGTGTTTTTATGTGGTCCGCCGTGTTCCTGCCCGTGTTCTGAAGATGTCTCGGGCGAAGAGTTGGCTTTTGCATGCATCGTCGTAAATCATCAATTCCAACATCTCGTGTCTACGAAGATGTCAAAGATGATAGCCCCATGTTCATGAATTTGCTAAAAATTCGCGACTTTCTCGCCGCGCACACTCTTTCTAAAAAATTGCAAGAGCTTCATGGGTAGAGGGCCACTCGTTTTCAAGATGTGTATCTCGCCTTAGCGCCACGTACATTCTTTTTAAAATTGCAAGAGTTTCACGGCTTGAGGGCCATCCGTCTTCAAAATGTGGCTCTCGCCTTAGCGCCGTGCATATTCGTTTTGAACAGTTGCAAAATGCACGGATTGAGGGCGGCTCCTTTTCAAAATGTCGCTCTCGCCTTAGTGCTGCGCACATTCGTTTTAAACATTTGCCAGAGTTTCACGGATTCCCATGACCAACGTACCAGAAATGAAATGGCGCTTCGGAAGGATTCAGGATTATGAGGGCACAACAGTTACGTTGATTCGCGGAGTTGGAGTCCCAAGCATAGTGTTCTGGCGCGATTCAGGATCGCTGGAATCACGAAAAAAATGTTGTGGCATGCTTCCAGGCCTTCAAACGGTTGTCTTCCAACGAGGCGTTCCCCTCAGTGGAAATGAACCCTTGTAGGGGCCTATGAGGAGGAAGCTCGGAGGGAGGGTTTATTCCAAAATCGTTGATGACTCTTGGGTTTGACTGGTCCTCCTCCTCCTCCTCCACCTCCGCCTCATCCGCCTCCTCCTCCTCCTCCTCCTCCTCCTCCTCCTCCTCCTCCTCCTCATCCTCCTCCTCCTCCCTCCTACCCCTCCTCCTCCCCACCTCCCTGCGCCCCTTCTCTCCTCTGCCCGCCTCCTGGTCGATGTCAGTGGCGACGAGCTTGCCCCGGAGCACCTGCGGCCCCAAGGCTCCGCGGCGGAGGAGGCCCAGGCAAGGCGGTGAAGGGGAGGAGGTGGAGGAGGAGGAGGAGGAGAAGGAGGAGGAGGAGGAGGAGGAGGACGGGGAGGAGGAGGAGGAGGAGGAGGAGAGGAGGAGGAGGAGGAGAGGAAGAGGGAAGGGGAAGGAGGAGGAGGAGGAGGAGGAGGAGGTAGGAGGAGGAGGAGGAGGGGGGAGGAGGAGGAGAAGGAGGAGGAGGAGGAGGAAAGGAGGAAGAGGAGGAGGAGGAGGAGGAGGGAAGAGAAGAAGGAGAAGGAGGAAGAGGAGAAGGAACTGTACCTGGTGGGGGTGGGGGGACAGCGGCATGCGATGCTTGCCCCCGCCTCGCCCGCGAGGGGCCGCGGGCGCGGCGCGTTGGACGCCGTGGACGCCGCGCGATGAGAGGTCTGGTCCAGGAGGCGGGCGGGCGGGAGGGCGGATGGGGCTGCATCGTGGGAGCGATCGACTGCACCTCGTGCCATGAATGACTACCTACCAGTCCACCCCAACCCAACCCGAAGACCCCAATTTCGGGTTGGGGGGGGTACGGGCTCCATATGTGTTTTTTCAGTGTTCCCCGACCCCCCCAACTGGAAATGGAGGGCAAATTGAGGTCTTCGGGTTGGGTTGGGGTGGTTTGGTGGGTGGTGAATGAAACACGCGGGTCCTGAGGGACACGGGTCCTGTAGTCTGTTCACCGTTCGAGGACTCTCGGGGCCCTCCAGAGGCCACGACACTGTAAAAAAAACGATCCGGATGGAAAGCTGGTCCTGGGGAAAACTCCCGGGGTTCAGGACGTGGTTTCCTCAGGACCCGGCTCCTTCATGCCAACAGTAGCACTGAATAAAATACGACTGCGCCACCTTACAGCAAACGAATCCCAGAACTAAGCAGAAACCCGACCAGCCCTTTGGCGCAGGTGCTTTAACGAGCTGTGTTTTCTCTCTTCCTCCCTGCCATGCTCGGGTGAAGGGCTTACCACTGCTCCTTATTAATAAACACCCCCTCCCCCAGGCGACCAGCAGCCAACTAGGACCAATGAGGACCCCCCGCCCAACCATCCCTGTCAAAAAACTAGCGCGGAATCCACTTGAAGGTAAAAGATTTAGTCATAGTCGGGGGGCAGCGAGCACTCTGTATTAGCTGTTGGCCGGGACGGCAGGGGTTCCCGCATATTGCCTGCTGCGCGCAGGGCCAGCATCCCATTCAGAAGAAAACAATTGTTTGTAGCCTATCTTTAAGGAAGCAAAAAAACAACTTCGAGGCAGAACCTGGATCATGCCCGGGCGCCCCGCGGTCACTGCGCTTTGGGTTTTGACTGGGACGGCGGGGGTGCTCACAGATTGCCCGCTGTGTGCAGGCCTACTACACACTACGATGGCCACCCCGCCGTGACGGCGCACATTTGTTCGACAGTGGTGGTGGGGGCCGACACGTCTCCCCATGTGTGCTGCCACGTGCGCAGGCGCACCTGGCACACTCTGCGCGTGCCCCGAACGTGGCACAACTGGCGCGGCTGGAGCATGCGGCACACGTGGGCGCACGTGGATTTGGCTGTCCATCAAAAACGACCGCTGAGCATGCTGAGAACCGGGTGCCACTCATGTGTTGGGAGAGCGGGCGGGAGTGAGCACGACGGCTTGCGGGCGGGGAGGGTGTCCTGACTCCTCCCCCTGCCCCTCCCCTGGGCCTGGGAGGCGCGGGGGGGGGCGAGCAATTAGAGCGTCCAAGATGGCCCAAAGTGGCTCATAGAGGGCCCTCGGCAGCCCCAGGCGACCTCCAACCTGGCTCAAGATAGCCGAAGATGGCTCACGATAGCCGCCGGCTTACCTCCAAGCCCCAAGACGGCCTCATGACGGTTCCAACTGCCCTTTCGAACCTTCCTACGCACCCTCCATGAGGCCAAAATCCTTCAAAACCTTGGAAATACCAACGTTGTTTACATTATTGATTTTTCGCTTTCGATGGGCCTTTGAAACCTCAAGATGGCCTCACACTGGCCCAAGGAAGCCCCAACAGGAGCCCAACAGGGCCCAAACACAGCCCCAAGAGCGCCCAAGAGACGCCCAGGAGCGCCCCAACAGGGCCCCAAGAGGACATTTCTGAGCCTCCGAGAGGGGGGGACCTAAATGAATGACCCCGTTCTCTTTGAGCCATGGGGGCCAAGACGGCCACACGGACCTCCCAGGGACCCAAGAGGGCCCCCAAAATACCCCGAGAGAGCCCTGAGAAGGCCCCAACAGGACCAAAAGTGCCTCCAACACTGGACTGCGGGGGTGATCTACATGGAAGACCCCCTCTTTTCGAGCCATTGGGCCCAAGACGCGCCGCGTCTAAGACAACAGGCAACAAGTGACGCGTCCAGGGCCGCAGGCAACCTGTGACACGCGAGGGCAGCAAGTAACCAGCGATGCGCCGGGAGAAACTTTTACGTCGGCGGCTAGGCAGAGTCACTGCGCTGGCGAGGAAGCGAAACAGGGCTGCCGTTAAGCGAATGGTGCCACCATGCAAGAGGGGAGGAAAAGACAAGGAAGCGACGGCCGACAGGAGGAAGAAGCAGTCCGGGGCCGCTCAGGGGAACGGGGCGTTCCCACGGGCGCGTGGCGCGGCCATCACCGCCGCGGGGCCAGCAGCAGCAGCGAGGTTTGGGGGCCAGCGGCGGCGGGGGCAGGTGCTGACCAGGTCAGCCGGCAAGGGTACATGTCGCGTGCAGCCAAGGAAGCACCAGTACCCAAAGGGTGGGGACGGTGAAACCCCACTACACAAGGCAAAATGGGGCGAGGGAGAGCGCGGGCGGCAAGACTAGCTCAGGCGCCAGGGGCGGAGAACTATGCGGGCAGCAGGAGACGGTGCTTATTATCATTCTGGGTAACGGCTGTTATCCGGGGAGGGGTTAGGACGGCGGGTAACGGTAGCGGCGGCCGCGGCGTGTGCCCGCCAGGGTGCGCCCACGCCATCGGCACATATATTGCCTGCGCGCGCGGCAATCCCTGCGCACGCGACAATGCCAAATGCACTCGTGCAAAACAGCGCCGCCTGAGTGCACCACAGTGCTTCGGCACACCACAACAGCTGCGTGCACAACGCCACCACGTCGCCCATGTACGCCGCAATATCTGTGTATACTGCAGCAGCCGCGTGCGCAACAGCGCTTGTGTACACCAAATTGGCCGCGTGCATCAGAACGCTCGTGTACACCGCAGCGCCTGCGTGCACCACAGCAACCATGTGCACCACAACGCCTGCGCACGCCACAATGCTTCCGTGCACCACATCGCCTGTCTACAGCAAAAAGTGCCAACGGGCACATCAGCAGCTAGCGAAGCCTTTTTTTTTGCCGGGCCCGCCACTGATCGCGGAAGCCCTCACCACGTCGCTCGTGTACACGGTATTGTTTTTGTATCGTGCAACAGCCGTGTGCGCTGCAGCGCCCGCGTGCACCACATTGTCTCCTCCTTTTCCTCCTCCTGCGTCTGGTCCTCCTCCCCCTCCCCCTCCTCCTCATCCCCTGCCGATTTGCGGGGCTCGCCGCGGACGAAGGAGGCCTTCGGGGCTTGTCCTTCAAACTCTCGCGGGGGAGACCTCAACGATGGCCGCGGTCTTCGTGCTGAAGGAAGGGAATACGGAACGGGAGGAGGAGGGGCAGCGTGGGATACGGAGCGGGATAACCGTTGTTCCACCCACACATGGCTGCGAAATTCCCTTGCAGCAGTGTTTCCAGAGTTCCACCAGTAGGAAGAGCAGGGAAGAGAACATAAGGATGTCACACTAGTTTGCGCACTGCACTAACCTGCAGGCGCCACAACAGGCAGGCGAGCACCGAACCATGATTTTAATCACCACGCCATGCCTGTGAATCCGGCGCCGCAACACGAGGGGAACCTGCGAACGCCACAACACGC